TGACAATTATTAAAATAGGACAGTCAAAAAAGAGAAGAGAATAGCAATTGTAGAAAAATAAGTACCTACTGAAAATGCCCTTAAAGTGAAAGTGACAAATGAAAAGAATGTCCAAAGAAGAGAACAGTACCTATATAGAAATAGTTATAAATGAAGATAAATATTCGATGTATGACTAACGTGACCATATTTTTTTTTCTTCGAAGCGGTACACCTGAACATTTTAATGAGAAAACCATATATTATTTTGTAAAATAACAATTTTTTTATTGAAAAAATCATTAATTGTTTATATAAAAAATGACAACAGAAAAATGCAGATAATATTATATTTCATAATAGACTGCTAACAATCTATGAACTATGGGTTTTAGTGTTTTACAGCATATGTAAAATATGTTGGTATACAAACTGTACCTATASGTACAGTATGATTTTGATATGTGATCAATAAATATCTGCCACAAGTGGACTTTTTTTAAAACGGGACATGTTTAGGTTCTTTGAGGACAGCGGGACACTTATCTCGAAARCGGGACTGTCCCGCCCAAAGCAGGACGTATGGTCAAGTTATTTATGACATAAAGAAGAGATATATGATAGTGAATGTGTTAAATAAAGATAAATAACAGCTTTATAGGAAGAACGATTACGGAATTAAATACCTATTAAACACGTTCACGTACCGGCCRAGAAGAAAATAATTGTTTAATGGAAATACTAATAGAAGAATAACTATTATTTATTTATAATAATATTTATCAAAAGAAAGATGAGACAGATACATATAAGAATTAATAAATACAGTGCCAATCTATATAAAGTGCTGAATTTTGATAAATGACCTCTTTATAAGCTAAAATCTATATAGGAMATTCTATCTAGAAATAATATTTTATAACAATAGATATTTAGGTGTGACTTTTGACTACTAAAATTAAAGTGAAAACAGGAAGGACAAGAGTATATAGTACATATGAAATAAATCGTATTTGGGATAAGAAAAAGTTCTC